TGCCACAGGCAGCGCCTGAGACAGAAGACACAAACCTCGCACTTTTGCTTCCCAGGGCGACCACAATTCACTGCTTTTGTCCTCTTAGAGAAGGGAAAAAACCCTGTGCTGGCGTTGCTCCTTTCTCCCCTGCCCAGAGGGGAGCAGGGCTCCCTATCTGCTCACACCCAGCCAGCCCCATCTGTGCCACCATCTGTGATCACCCTCTGCATGACGCGTCTCTCCAGCCACCCTCCATCCCTCACCCTGCTCTCGGGACACTCCTCGTGCTCAAAAGCCCCAGATTTATAAGCCTCTTCCAAGACATCTTTGCACCAGCTGAAACAGCCCCTTCCAAGCCATTTCCCACAGGAGACCTTCATCTCTCAAAGGAGGTGGAGGGCCTGCTCCCTGCCTGCTCCCAGCCCAGCTGGCAGCTGCTCAGAGATTTAATCTCGCCCAGGCAAACACCTGAGGCCGACACAGACTGAGGGCACCTCAGCAGAAGCCCTTGTGTGGCTTGTCACGCTGTGCCCAAATTCCAGCTGCCTGAGATGAGAACCCCCCCAAACCCCGGCCAGGCCCTGCTCACAGTCCCCAGCTGCCTGGGCTGCCAGGAGCTCCCCTAAAATCAGCTGAACCCTGTGATGTGAGGCTTAAGGGCACACAAGGAGCTTTTAAAAATACCAACAGAACAGACTGTGTAGAACAGTCCTTCCTCCTGAGCTGCAGGAGCCCGAGGTTGGGGATTTAAGTCCAGCACAGTGCAGCAGGAGGGGCTGCAGGGACAGCACAGGGTGTGCGGGCAGGAGGGCACCCCCGGACCAGCCCCGGTGCTGCGGGGCGTGGGGGGGCAAAGCCACACACGAGTCCCCCCAGCACAGCTCCTCTTGCGGGGGGACAAGGGACGGTTGTGTTTTGCACCACTTGAATTTATCAGGGCAGTGAGGACGCGCCCCGGGGCACGCCAGCTCCCTCCCCGGGGGTCCCCCGCCTCTCCAGGCCCACCGACGGCTCCGGGGCGAGCGACACGCAGCTGCCTTTCCGCCCGAGGGGGGACCTAGAGGGAGGGGAGGGGTGGGGGGGCGAGGCCTATAGGCCCGTCCGCCCCCCGGGGGCCGAGGGGGTACCTTGCTCTTGGCGCAGCTGACGGAGCGCAGCGCCCCGAAGAAGATGGGCAGCAGCGCCATGAGGACGAGGCTGCCGTAGGCCAGCGCCATGCCCTCGGGGGTGGCGGGCGGGCGGGCGGCGGCGCCGGCCCCGGGCGCGGCCCCGGCGGCGCTGCCGTTGTGCGCCGCGGGCTCCTCCATGGCGGCTGCTCCCACCGCGGTCCGCGCCGACACGTCCCCCTTACCGGCCGGAAGTGCGTCACGACGCAGCGGCGCTGAAGCCGGACACGCCCCTTTCCCCTTTGCCAGGAGAAGGGCAGCGCCCGCGGCACCACCGGGACTCCCCCGGGACTCCCCCGGGCACCCCCGCTCCCAACGGGGCTCTGCCTCCCGGCCCGACCCTCCCTGACCACCCCCCGCTGTGTGACGATAACCAGGGGATCCCGGCTCCCCAGAGCACCCCCCGGAGCGCGAGCGGGGAGGTGGCACCTCGAGGCCACCCCTGGAGTGCTGTGTCCAGTTCTGGCCCCTCAGTTCAGGAAGGACATGGAGGGGCTGGAGCAGGTCCAGAGGAGAGCAACAAGGCTGGGGAAGGGACTGGAGCACAAGTGCTGTGAGGAGAGGCTGAGGGAGCTGGAATTGTTGAGCTTGGAGAAGAGGAGGCTCAGGGGAGAGCTCCTCACTTTCTACAACTCCCTGACAGGAGGGTGTAGCCAGGTGGGGGGCGATCTCTTCTCCCAGGCAACTATCAGTAAGACAAGAGGGCATGGGGGAGGTTTGAGTTAGATATTAGGAAGAAATTCTTTACAGAGAGGGTAATCAGGCATTGGAATGGGCTACCCAGGGAGGTGGTGGATTCTCTGTCCATGGAGGTTTTTAAAATGAGACTGGATGTGGCATCAGTGCCATGGTCTGGTAACCACGGCGGTGTTGGATCAAGGGTTGGACTTGATGATCTCAGAGGTCTTTTCCAACCCAGCTGATTCTATGAGTCTATGATGCCATCAGCCTCCTGGGCTGCCCCTCCATCCAACCCTGAGTTTCCCTGCCCTTCGCTGTTCTCCAAGGACCCACCCCTCCTATCCTTGGGAATTCCACGCTGACCTCTCCCAGCCCACCCCAGCGGTCACGCGGGCAAGAGCCCCCTCTGTTAAAAATGCCTCGTAAATGACAGGGAATTCTCCCCTTGCGCTGAACTGGGGCCAGGGCTCTGCTGGAAAATTGGCTGAAATGTATGTTTTCCTCACAAATATTCCCAAGCCTCTGGCAGCCCAGCTGTGCCACTGAGCCTCCTCCTCCTCCTCTGCCTCCTCCTTCTGGCTGGGGCGAGGGTCTGCTGAGGAGCAAAAAGTGGTGAAGGTTTGGGCACAGTGAAATGGTGCTGCCCCAAGCTTAGATCTGAGCCGTGGGCAGGGGATGGGAGCGCAGCAGGGATTAAAATGTAAGTCTTTAATGTTTTAAAAATGTTTTCTTTTTTTTTTTTTTTAGTAAAAGGAATCTATTTCAGGAGGAGGGTGATTCATAGTTCCATGTTTCAGGCAGAGAGGCAGAGGGCAGATGGGAAGGCCTCCTGGGAGCCCCTCTCTACAGGGCTGGCGTCCTGCCTGGGATGCTGCCCTCTCCCTGTCACTGCTGGTCCCACAGAGGAGCACAGGCAGCAGCAGGCAGCGTGCCAGCACACACCCTGCTGCATCCCACCCTGCTGCCTACTGCAGTCCCGCCTGGCATGGCAGGGACTGGCACAGCACAACTCCTGGCCCCCTCACTGACCCCCTCACAGACCCCTCTGGGTGCCCACCCGGCCCCTAAACCCCAGCCTGGCTTGGGAATCCTCACAAAGTGGCTGTGCAGGGAGAGCCAGGGCAGTCCAGGGCTGGTGTCCTTCTGTGGCCACTTCCTGGCCAGGACCCAGCGGGGCTCCCAATCCAAGGGAAGTGGTATGGGCAGGGCAGTGGGCACCAGGGCTGATGGCACCAGGGGGAATGGCCACCCAGGGACAGATGGCACTGAGACAGACAGCACTGGGACTGATGGCCACCCAGGGAGAGATGGCAACGGGATGGGTGGCACTGCGGCTGGTAACCACCCAGGGAGGCATCGCACTGGGATGGGTGGCACTGGGTTGGATGACACAGGGATGGATGGCCACCCAGCGAGGAATGGCTCTGGGATTGATGGACACCCAGGGACAGATGGCACTGAGGCAAGTGGCTGCCCAGGGGTGGGTGGCACTTGGATGGATGGCACCAGGATGGATGACCACCCAGGGAGCGATGGCACTGGGACAGGAGGCCACCCAGCGACAGATGGGACTGGAGCCCCTGGCCAGCCAGGGCTATGTGGCACTGGGATGGCTGGCACCAGGATGGATGGCCACCCAGGCAGTGATGGCACTGGGACAGGTGGCCACCCAGTGACAGATGGGACTGGGGACCATGGCCACCCAGGGACCAATGACACCGGGATGGATGGCACTAGGATGGATGGCCACCAAGGGATGAGTGGCACTGGGACGGATGGCCACCCAGTGGCAGATGGCACTGAGATGGATGGCACTGGGGCCAGTGGCCACCCAGGGAGGGATGGCACTGGGATGGCTCTGGAGGGGCTGGTGCCACTGATCCCCAGCACTACCTGCCCCAGGTGTGGGCCCAGCTGGGGACAGGCAGTCCCTGGACCCCCCCCACCAGCCTCCTCCTTCTGCCCTCCCTCCATTTCCCAGCTCCTCACCGTGGCCCCCCTTGGCCTCTCCTCCCACCCTCCAGCACGGCTGCATTTTTCTGGGTTTGAGCTCATTCTTTCCACTCCCCTCTCTGCCGGCTGCCAACTTTCCATCTCGTGGCCCCCCCGCTGCCTCCTGCCTCAGGGAAACTCTGGCTGCAGCTGCAGGAGGGACCAGCAGCAGCAAGGAGCCCCTGTCCCAGGGGTGCAGCCCTCAGCCCCAGCGTGGCTGACGCCGTGTGAACCACAGCATTGCCTCCAGCAGCACCAGGAACCAGCGTGCCGGGAGCTCCAGGGCGGAACAGCTGGAGCAGAGCAGCAGCAAGGAATGAGCAGCAATGCCATGGTCACCAAGCAGCATGGAAAAAAGCTTCTGAGGACAAAGCTGGCAGGGAGAAAACCTCACTTGGGATTGCACCTCTGGAGAGCTGTTTTCCCACAGGGGCAGGGTACTGCCCTATTCCAGTATCCCGTTTGTGCCGGTCACAGGCAGTGGTTCCCCACGCTCTGACCACAGAGCGAGCAGAAACTCCTGACCTGGGTGGGAGGGCACTGCTGATCCTCCCTGGCCCTGGGCCCGGGGTGCTGAACAGGTTTCCCTGTGGCAGGGTAGCTGCTGGCCGGCAGCACAGCCTGAAAACAGGCAGAGCCCACACGGCTCCAGCATTGCCCCCCCGGGTGCCCGGGGTCACTCACTGCTTGCTGCAGCCAAGCACGTCCCTTCCTGCCCGTGGCATCCCACTCAGCTCCTGCTCCCTGCCCCTTCCTGGGGCACCAGGAGCCACTGAGTGCCCAGCTCCCTGCCCTGGCTGTGGCTCCCACAGTGCTCAGGTGCTTGAAAACTGCAGCTCAGCAGAGCTCAGCCCTTCCCAGATGCTTTTCCAGACTTGAATGGAGGCTAGGAGGTGCAGGAGGCTGGGGGCTTCTGCCATCACAGAGGATGATGCTGGACCACTGGGTGAGGAATGGGGACCTCCACCAAGGGTGGCCAAAGAAAGCCCCAGACAGAGGCTCTCTCCCTGCCCCAAGATATTCCAGCTAATGGAGATGGAGCTGGCCAAGGCCTGACTAGAGCAGGAGGCAGATCCTCTGCCCTGGCCGCAGGCAAGGAACAGAGCTTCAATCCAGCCGTGTGGCTCCAGGATGTGGCTCCCCAGGGCAGGGACCCAGCAGAGACCAGCACCTCCCTGATGCGGTTTATTCTGCAGATTGAGGGTTTCCCCATCGCACCAATACAGAGACAGCACAAAACCCTCCATCTGAGAAACACTGGTGCCAGGGACACATGGAACAAAGCCCTGGCACAGCAGGGCCGGGGTGCCAGGTGATGCTGCTGGTGCTCCCTGTTCCCTCTCCCTGTCCAGGCTCCAGGAAGTCCGAGGTGGACACTGCTATGGTGCTCTCGCCAGTCCTTATGCCCTGCAAAGGATGGGCACCACAAGCAGGACCTGCTCTGCTCCTGGCAGCCTCCAGCCCTGCACTGGGGCATGGCCACCCCTCACCTCCAGCTCCCCAGGAGCAGCTGGGATCGAAAATCCCATCACCCCAAGTGCAGGTACCTGTCCCACCCTCTGCTCCCTGGACTCAATCCCACTTGTCCCCTCTCCTGGAGGGGAAGCAGCTGGATCCACAGCACCTCAGCAACCCTGAGCACTGGTGAAAACAGCTCCATGTCCTCAGCATCGCTCCAGTCCTTTCTGGGCTCTCCATGGAGCCGCTGGCCACGCTGTTGGAAGAGAGGAGAGTCCCAGCCAGCGTGTTCGGAGGGACGGGATGGTGGCTCTCAGAGCACAGACAGGTCATGGCAGGACTTGGAGCGGACTTTGAGGGCCCCCTTGCTGCTGTTCCTGGCCACCAGCCTGTCGAGGAAGTGCCGGGCTCTCCTGCTGAGGCTTTCCTTTTGCTTCTGGCCGGGCGCAGGGTGCGGGTGGGACTCCTTTCCCCCACGGCGCAGGCGGATCTGCCGCACCACCCCCTCGAAGAGCTCGGCCACGTTGTGCTGCAGAGCCGCCGACGTCTCGATGAACTTGCAGTCAAACACGGCGGCGCAGGCCCGGCCCTCTGTAAGGGAAGGGCACTGGGCACACGGCCCCACTGGCACCCCGGGCACTGGGGGACGGGCAGTGCCACATGCACGACACCAGCTGCACATCCAGGGACAAGGGCACAGATGTGGGGGAAGCAGCTGGGCATGGACATCCCACCCCCCGGGGATCCTCACCAGCCAGACCCCTCATTGCCCGCTCACCTTCGACGGAGACCTCGCGGCACCGCACCAGGTCGGTTTTGTTCCCCACCAGGATGATGGGGATGTCCTCGGCCTGGCGCGCCCGGCGCAGCTGGATGCGCAGCTCCGAGGCGCTCTCGAAGCTGCCCCGGTCGGTGATGGAGTAGACGATGACGTAGGCGTTCCCCACCTGCAGGCACCGGCTGCGGCGCCGGCCCTCCTCACCCTGGCATCACACGGGGAATGAGATGTCACCGCTCTGCAGGGGCTGCTGGCAGCTGTGACTGCTGCTGGAGGACAGCAGAGGTCCCTGGCACTGATGGGACCTGCCAGTACACCCCACCAGCCCCTGCGTTGTGGGGAGCAGACATGTGATCCTGTTATAAAATGTGGATTAAAAGCTCTTGATTTTAGGGGGTGTTTGAGAGTTTCCTTCTCCACCAGTGACAAACTGGGGCTGTGAGCTCAGCTTGGTGTAGGGAGCTGAGGCTGTGTCTCCTGGGGCCATGCTGGGACACACAACACCGGTGTTGTGGGAGCTGCACCCCATATGACCCAGGCACCAGGCACTGCTTGGCAGGGTGGGAATAAATCAGAGTGGAAAGAAATGGTTGTTGTTGGGGTGTTAAGGTACCGGGGCATCTACAGGCAAACACAGCCCCAGCCCGTGTGAGTGCTGCCCCCCTGTTCACAGCCTGAGCACTGGCTCCATTCCCGCTCCTGGGGACTGGTGGCACTCACAGGAACTCGGGGCCCTGGCATGAAGGGAAGGAGGGAGAGAGGCAGTGACAGCAGCGCTGGCATTTCTGCCAGGAGGTACCTCATGTGCTGGGCGGGGGGAATGCCCCGTGCCAGGCTCTCGGGGCCACCACTCTGCCCGTTGAAGCATGTGTCCTGGCTGGTGGCCCTGTCTCACGTGGATTTACCCAGTTGGCTCCTTCAGCCCCATTCCCAAACCAATTCCATGCATTTCAAAGCGGGCTGGCACCACAGTCCTTCCTCACAACTCCCTCTTCCCCACATGCCTGCCCCTAATATGAGGGGTCCCTGTGCCCACACTGGTGAGAACACAGCAGGCAGCCTCCCATGCCAAGGAAGGGTGGGCACAGAGCTGGGCAGAGATGTGACCCCAGCCTGTCTTGCCCAGCGTGTGGCCCCTGCTCTGCAGTGGTGAGCCCTGGACACAGCCAAGGAGGTCTGGGTTGCCCTTTGCAGTGTTCAAAAGCCCCAAAACAGCGGCTGTGCCTGTACAATGTCCCCTGGGCACATCCCGGCTCGCCCAGCCCCCTGCAGCCCCCGGCCCTGCCGTACCCGCTGCTCCGGCTCCCAGATGTCCAGCACCAGCAGCGTGGTCTCCTCTCCATCCACGGTCAGCGTGCGCTCGTATGCGGCCTCTGCAGGACACCGGGAGAGCCCGGTCGGTGCCGCACCGTCCGGACAGCCGGGCCCCGGGCTCCTCTCTGCCCCGCACACGGGTTTCTCCCATCACAGGGCCACAGGGTGTCCCGCGGGGGGAAACCCTCCAGCAGATCCCCCCCACCACACACCTACCTCCGTGCTGCTCCAGCAGCTCCCGCTCCTGAACGCCAGCGAAGAGATTGACCAGGCTGGTCTTGCCGACACCGGGGTCACCCAGCAGCACGACCCGGTACCGGGGCTCCCGGGGGCTGGAGGAGCCCGAGGAGTCGGAGGACCAGCTGCCTCGGGGGACCCTGCCGCCCGGCTCGGAGGCGGTGTGGCCGAGCTGGGGGTGACAGGGCTCGCGCCGCGAGGTGGCCCCGGTGCCCCCCGGCCTCGGGAGCGGGGTGCTGGCCCTCCGCCGCAGCGGGCTCCTGTTCCCGGGCTGCGTGTTCAGGGTCATCACCGGCACCGAGGGCAGAGGGGATGGAGGGTGAGCGGAGGGGTGCGTGTCACCCCGAGGGGCACCGGCTCCCGGTAGCTTCCGATCGCGCCGCTCCCGGTCTCGCTCCTGGATCCGCTCCCGGTCTGAACTGGCGGCAGCTTGGGCAAAATTTCCCCGGGACGGCCGCGCTTCGCCCGCCCCGATCTTTAAGCCCCGGGGGTGGAGCCCCTCGCCGGGCCAGTCCCTCCCCCGCCGGACACATCCCCGCCTGCACCGGCCCTGTCCCGGCCGGCTGCCCTGTCCCGGTCCCCGAGGTCCCCGCGGGGCTTGCGGTGCCGGGGAACGGCGACTTCCCCAGGGATGTATCCCCTCGGTCCCGGGGAGCAGCGGTCGCACCGGGATGCCGCGGGATGTGCTGCCGTGGGCGGGGGCTCTGCCACGCTGCGTTCCTGTGTGGAGCAGGTTCCTCCCGGTGCCCGGCCGTGCTCCCAGGGGCCTGCTCAGCCCAGGTCGGCCAAGTAAGGAGAGAGCCGAGCCCCTGCCCGGGGGATGTGCTTTGTCAGCCCGAAGCCCAGCCATGTAGTGCCATTGCCAAGACCTGGTGATGGAACTCGAGGCCGGGGTCTGTCCTGGAGCTGGGGAGAGAAGGAGTTGGTTTTATTCGAACCTGTGGGTTGATCCAGGCCTTTGCTGGCACTGTGGCACCGCTGCCCCAAAATGCCCCAGCACCTGGCCTGTGCTGGCACTGGTCTGACCCCACACTGGGCACACCAGCAAGAACAAGCCGCTGCACTTCGGCTGTTTCAGTGTGAAGAGGAGGAGGAGAAGCAGGAGTGTGGTGATTGCTCAGGATACTTCGTGCTCAGAGGGGTCCTGTCCCCTGCATGACAGCATCAAGGGGCACAAGGTGGGTGGAGGGAAGCCTGACTTGTGTCAGCTGTGCCACCCTCTCAGTGCCTCCAAGGTCCTGGACTGGCTTTCAGTGGCCCAGATGCTCTTTCTGGGACCCAGGACCATACAAGCAGCTGGGAGAGCAGGGAAACACTTTAAAATTGGGTGAGGGTCATGCCCAGCTCCTGTTCAGCATGAACCAGAGTCCAGGCTGATCCCCAGCCACACCAGCAGTATTTTCTCACCCCTCATGGTCTGCCCCAGCCACTGACCACTCTGCTGAAAACCAAAATTGTTTGCAGCCCAAACCTTGCTCTACCCCCCTCAGACTACCCCCTGCACAGCAGGCTCAGTGCTCAAGGGCCTTCCTGGAGCATCAGAGCCAGACACAACTCCTGGGGCTCTGAGAGGGAAAAGGAATGAATTCAGCCACTCTCATTGTCAATCCTGAAAGACAAACAAAAGTGGAGAAAGCCCCTTTGGAGCAGCCAGGTACATCTGCTTTCTCGCAGCGAGGACAAGCACAGTGAGCTGGGCTTGCTCAGAGGTGTCTCATCCATCTTGTCTCAGCCCAGGACAAACTGTGTATCCAGAGAGTCCCAGCACAGAGCTCAGAGCTGCTGGTGAAATCCGCCTGGGGCCCCTGGGATCAGGAGGATTTTTTAAGGAGGGGAAGCTGAAATGCAGACAGGAATGGGTACGTGGGGGGTTACGGCCCCTCTGGGCTCCCCACACTTCCAGCGGCATGCAGGGGCACAGGGAGGGCCAGCACAAGCCCTGTGTTCCTCTGCTCCCTCACACTCCCAGGCCAAGCAACTCATGACTCATTTTGCTCTTTCTGGAAGCAAATCTGGTGTCTGGAAGCAAAGGGTTAATAAGCAAAACGAAGGGCTGGTGATGTCGTGTGAAAAGTTGCAGGGAGGTCAGTGGGAAAGGACTGAGGATGGTGGAGAGGGCTCTGGCACAGGCTCCCGCCTGTCAGGGCGGGTAAGCACCAAATGCCTGACTTGTGATGTTACAGAAACTTTCCACTTGGGCCTTCCTGCTATTTTTAACTCTTCTCCCAGCCACCCTCAATAACCCCAGCCCCACCAGCTGCGGAGGCTAACTAATTCCCCTTTTTTTATCATTTTTTTAAACATTTAAAAAAATTGAGTTCCACTAATCCATCACGCAGCTGCTCGCCTCCTCCCTCCTGACACATTCCAGGCTTCCCTCCTTCTTTGGTTTGTGCCTCCATAGCTACAGCCGTAGCTGTCTTCCAGCTAAAACCCAGACCCTGGTGCAGAAGATCCAGCCCCTCTTGTCACTGGAGTTCTGCTAGGTGAGTGTCTCCCCAACAAGATGATATTTTCATGGAAAATAAGCCTGGTGTGCGCTCGGGGTGTGGAGGAGCTGGGGGCTGGCCTGCACCTGCAGAGACAGGACACACAGGGAAGGAATGATCCCATGAGCAGACCCCCCGAGCACAGCCTGCTGCGTGTCACGGGGCTCGCTCCCTCCCAGCAGGCTGACGGGAAGAGCAAATCCCCACAGAGCAAATGGGATTCGTTCTCAGAAATGGAATTGTTTGACATTTATAAGATCAACACAGTGTCTTCAACCGAGTGGGATGGAAAGCAAAGGTAATGCGACTGTGTAGACTCATTTCACAGTGATGTGAGCAACTCGCTTCCCAGATTGTTTTCCATTGTTTTTTCCTTTCCTGGAGCTCTGCCCTTGCTGTGTCCAGCTGGTTCTGCCTGCAGGTCTGCACCACTGCCTTTACTCTTGCACAGGGACAAACTCAGTCACTGCTCATTCCACAGAGCTGGGAAACATCCCCCTGCACCATCCCTGACCTTCCCCTCAGGCGCTGCTGCTCGCACTGACAGCACGGAGGAATCTGTCACTGTGCCCGGTGCCACCCCTCAGAGAGGGGCTCTGGGGAGCAGAGCTGTGCTCCAGGAGCCAGACGGAGCGAGGGAACAGTATGGAAGGGTAGATTTCAGATGCTGCAGGAGTGATACTGCTGCCGCTCTATGGGGAGACGCCCCCCGGCTCGCCCTTTTGTCCCTTTGGGAGCCCCTTTGCCCTCAGGGACACCCCTACGCCCCACTGCCCCTCATCATCCTCTGCCCCCTGGACACCCCCACGGCCTCCGGAGACCCCCCCTTCGCCACGGGATGCCCCGTATCCCGGGCCGGTCTCCACGGCGACAGCGGGCGGGCCCGGGGACCGAGCGGGGCTCGCGCTCACGGGACCGGGCAGGAGGGGCGCCCCCTGCCGGCCCCGCCTCGGCGCTGCACCGGGGCGGGATCACCGGGACGGGATCACCGGGACGGGATCACCGGGACGGGGTCGGGATGCCCGGGCTGGGACGGAGCTGTGGCAGACCGAGCAGCCCGGCGGGGCGGGCGGAGATTCAGCTGCTTGCGGGGCTGCCGGGGACGGGAGGGAGCAGAGGACCGGCCATCCCGGGGAGCCCGGGGCGAGGCGGCCCCGGTGCACGGCGCCAGCGGGGATGGACAGCCCCGCAGAGCTGCTCGGTACTACAGGCTCTCGGTGCTAACGCGGACCGTGCCCGCGGGGCGGGAGCGAAGACCGGAGGGTGTGTGCGAGCCCGGTGCCAGGGCCGTGCGGGACCCTGTGCCCGGTGCCGGGCGTGACCTCCGGCTACACCGGGCGGGAGCGGCTCCCTGTGGAAAGCCGCGGTGGAGGGTCCTGTGGTGTCCCCCGGGCGGCGGGGCTCCGGGACGGCGTGGGCAGGGCCCGGGGGTGCGGGACAGGCCAGCGGGAGGACAGGCCCCGGGGCAGCCTCCGGTGTCCAGTCTGGCCGCAACGCCGGGGCAGCCCACAGGGTCGGGAGAGCACACAATTCCCGGTCAGACCGCAGGATCTGGACAGCCCATGGTGCCCGGTCAGGCCACAGGACTGGGAAAGCCCGAAGTGCCGGTCAGCCCGCGGTGCCTGGGCAGGTCGTGATGTACAGTCGTGTCTCGGTGCCCGGTCAGCTGCGATGCCCGGGCAGGTTGCAGTGTCTGGTCGGGTCACAGTGCCCGGTTAGGTATCGGCGCCCGGTCGATCCCGGTTCCAGGTCGGTCCCGGTTCCCGGCCGGGCGCGGCCCCGCGCGCTCCCCTGTCACCACAGCAACTGGCGGCGGCGGCGCAGCCAATGGGCGCGGCCCCCGGCGGGCCCGCGCGCGGCGACGGCAGCCAATGGGCGCGGCCCCCTGCGGGCAGCCCGCGGTCTCCGGGGCAACAGCGCCGCCGCCGCCGCCCCATTGGTGCCGCCCAGCGGAGGGGGCGTGGCCTGACCGGGAGGGGGCGTGGCCCGACCGGGCGGGGCGGGTCCCACTCGCGGCACCGGGACCGCGTGGCCGCCCCGTGGGCAGCGCGTTCCCCGCACGGCGCTCCCGGCCCCGCTCCCGAGCCCCGGGGAGACGCCGCTGAGGCGGGTGGGGGACACACATCCACGAAGGCGCCGGTGTTTCCACACCGCGTGGGGCCGAGCCCCAGTGGGCGGCCCGGGGACGTCCCAGACCAGGCTCTGCCGGGAGGAGTGGGGACAGTGGGTGCCCCGGGAGCCCGGCAGGGAGGGGTCCAAGAGCAGCATCCCGGGGGGATACTCGGTGTCGCGGGCGGTCAGAGCCGTGCCCAGGCTCCCGGCGGGCCGCGAGGAGGGTGGGGGCGGGCTCCCGGGGGTGCGGGCGTTGGGATCACCGGGGACACCGGGGCGCCCAGACCGGGGGGAGCAGCGGGTTCTGGCAGGAGCTGAAGCATCTCCGGGTGGGTACCAGAGGGCAGGGGTAACCGGTGCGCTGAAGGTACCGGATTTCACGGGGGATGCTGTGCTGCTCACCGTGGGGGCAACGGGGGGCTGCACGGTTGCCGTGGGGGCGGTATCGGGGGGATCGGGTTGCCAGGGGTACCGAGAAGTACCGGGGCGTGCCTGGTGTACCGGGGGGAACCAGGGGGGCTGCGGGGGGTACGGGCGGGTTCCGGGGGGTACCGGCGGTGCCGCCCTGCCATTCTCTCCAGCAACCCCTTTCGGCGGGCGCCCATTGGCTGAGCGGGATGTGCCCCCCCGGCCCGGCGGCCAATGGGCGGCGGGGGGCGGGGCCCCCCATTGACAGCCCCGGCGCGCCGGTGTTTACCGGGGGCGGCGGGGGCGGGGCGGCGGCGGCTATAAAAGCGGCACCGGGGGGCGTGCGGCTCCCAGGCTGCCCGCACCGCCCCCCCGCGCACCCCCGACCCGCACCCGGACCCACCGCAGCCGCCCCGCGCCGTTCCCGACTGAAGCATCCGCCCACTTAGCCGGGGAAGCATCCCCGGGGCGGCGGGGAGCGGAGCAACCCCAGAGCGGGGCGGAGCCCTCGGGGCGTGCAGCGTTCCCCGGGCGGTGTGGAGCATCACCGAGCCGGTACAGAGAATCCCGGAGAATCCTCGAGCCGGCGCCGAACATCCCCGGGTGGGTGCGGAGCATCCCCGAGCCGGTACAGAACATCCCGGAGCGCCCTCGGACCGGTACCGAGCATCCTCGAGGTCGTACAGAGCATCCCGGAGCATCCTCGGACCGGTGCGGAGCATCCCGGGTCGGTGCGGAGCATCCCGGGACAGGACCGCTGCGGAGCAATCTCCGAGCCAGAAACCACCGGGCCATCCCGGGGACCCTCCGTAGCACCACTGCAGCCGCCGCCCCGGCGGAGCCGCCCCCGCCGTGCGCCCCCGGGCCCCGTCGCGGCCGCCTGCGCCCCGCCCCGCC